GACATGACCACAGCTCTGTTAAAAAACTTGGGGTTCGTGATCAATGTCCAAAAATCCATCCTCACCCCGTCTCAATTCCTGGGATTCCAAATAGATTCCGTTTTGGCTATCCTACAACTCCCATCAAAAAAGACATCAGGAAAATTCTAGCCTCTTCGACTATCCGTCTTCGCGACTTAGCTCGCATAATCGGACTACTCTCCGACCTCGATTCAGGCGATCTTCCCAGCTCCTTTACATTACCGAGCAATGCAACGTCTGAAGACTCGCTCTTTACGTCACTCTGCATCTTGCGATCAACAGATCTCCTTGACAGACGAAGTCTGACTCGAACTGAACTGGTGGCTACACCATATGGATGCATGGAACGGGAGAGCGATCTTCGGATCACAACCAAATTACATCCTAGAATCAGATGCCAGTCTTCTGGGCTGGGGTGCATCATGTGCAAATCTCTCTATTGGAGGTCCTTGGTCCCCATCAGAATGGGCATTGCACATCAATTGCTTTGAGTTGATTGCCGGTTACTTTGCGATCCGCAGTTTCGCAAAGGACTCTTACAATTGTTCCCTAGTGCTGAGAATGGACAACATCTCAGCTGTTCAATACGTGAATTGCTTAGGGGGATCCCATTCCAAAATGCTCTCAGACCTCACAAAAGAATTATACCAATTTTGTCTGGACAAGAACATCTCCCTTCGAGCGGAGTATCTACCTTGTTCTGACAACTTAATCGCAGATTGGTTCTCTCGACACTGGAGAGACTCCAGTGACTGGCAGTTGGACCCACATGTTTTTCATGGCCAATGACCGGAGCTTATGCCTTCCCTCCGCTCTCCATGATCCTTTGCACTCTCCATCATCTCAGGACTCAGGGGACCACAATAACACTGCTGTCCCCTTTGTGGCGTACCCAACCATGGTTCCCCAATCTCTTGGAGATGTCGGTGGATTATCCACTACTGCTACCTGCCACGCACGATCTTCTCAAAGATCCTGCAGGCAACTTTCACCCTCTCGCGTTGTAGGGTTATCTCCAGCTAGTGGCCTGGACTGTTTCAGGGGATCCTGGAATGCCGCAGGACTTTTGGAGACTGCTAGAGAACTCTTATGGGACTCATGGACCCTCAGGACTAGACGCTCTTACCTCTCAGCCTGGCGAGTTTGGCATCGCTGGTGCTTGGAAAGGGGTATTGATCCCGTTTCAGCTTCTTTGATTAACGTTATAAACTTTTTGTCCTCTCTTTTTGATCAAGGTAAATCCTACAGATCCATTAATACGTTCAGCAATTTCGACAGCTCATGACCCCATTGATAATACTGCAATAGGTAAACACCCCTCCATCTGTAGACTGTTGCGTGGCATTCATCTTGCTCGACCTCCTGTCCCAAAATATTCTCATTTTTGGGATGCTGCTCTTGTTTTGTCCTTCCTGGAGACTTGGCCACCCAACAAAGCACTCTCTCTACGACAACTGTCGGCCAAATTAGCTCTTCTTCTCTGCTTAGTTTCTTTTAGAAGAGTGTCTGATATTCAGGCATTTGACTTTCACACTATTGATTTCACGCCCCAAGGTGTACGTTTCAACATTTCTCGCCGCACTAAAACTAATTCCTTAACGATTACTTACCCTTATTTTTCTGACAGACCGTCGCTCTGCGTTGCTCGTTGTGTCCAACACTACGTCGCCTCTACATCACCTCTACATATCCCTACGGGCCCCCTGTTTATCTCATATGTGCGACCACACAAGCCTGTGTCTTGTCCCACGATTGCCCGCTGGATTAAATGGCTTCTCGATTTAGCGGGCATAGATTCCTCTTTTGGAGCTCATTCTGTCAGAGGTGCTGTTGCCTCTTCCGCCTTTATGGCTGGGGGATCCCGTGCAGACATCCTAAAATGCGCTGATTGGTCTAGAGAATCTACCTTCCGTACCTTTTATTTTCGACAATCGTCCCATGCTTCTCTCTCTTTGGTTTCCTCACTTTAAAACAGCAAATATGAAGCCTCCTGTTTTGCCATAAAATTCGGGATTATTCTAGCTTTAGTGACTGAATAATCTAAATTTTATTAAAGACAGGAGGCGAATATTTTCCCACCTTATTTGTATCCCACCCCAGATTTTTTTTCAGGTCACATATACTCTTATTTTTTTCTAGGTTTCTTGTGAGACTTTATATTAATCTAGCTGTTTTTTTCTGTTTGCTCTGGTTAGGTGCTTATTAATCTGCCTGGTTCTGACTATTTTAGATTTTGCAATAGTTTATACTCGTAATATCCAGGGGTAGATCTGTGTATGTAGATATCTTGCGGACACCCAGTCCAAGTGACCATACTTTCACGATCTTTCTCTGTCTTTTAGTGTGAAGTTTCTCTGCATGAGCCACGAAGACTACATTCTATTGGTCTCTAGTATCGGCTGTGTTCCGGTTTACATGGTTGATGAATTACTCAAGTTCACACGGTTGACTACACTCCATCAGAAAGAGGATTTGGGAGGAGCCTGACAGACTGTTATGTTCTAATATGTGTCCTGATTGGTTGATTTTTTCTCTATATGTTTAACTATTTCTTTGCTGCTGGGAGGTTCAGTAAAGAAGGTTAAAGCAAATACGCCTCCTGTCTTTAATAAAATTTAGATTATTCAGTCACTAAAGCTAGAATAATCCTGAATTATCATGTCAGCGGCGGGTGCAACTAGCCCCCAGCAAACAATTAAAAATAACTCCGTATCCATACTCCTACCGCCATCCCCACTTCAAATCACATGGTGGTTGGACTAACCCTTTAACTGAAAGTAAAGTATTAACTATCTGATATAATAGGTTAACAGCTAGCAGTCTCATTTCACAGATTTTTTCACCTGGTAATGGAGTTAAAATAACACTAAATGCACCACAACCACTGCAGAATGATCTAGTGCTGGTGCCCTCCATTGTAAGTAGTCAAACATTTTCCAAAGGGTGCCATTCTCTTCTTCCACTACAGAGAGCTGAGAATTCCCAAACAGAAGCTTCTGTTAGCTCTCCTGAGCCAAGCCTATTGGATGAAAGTGTCAGTGGGGGATGCCAGGGCTATCCTGGCACCATAAACATTACAGTAGTTACACTATATCAGTGTTAATGGTGCTTGGAGTGTTTCTTTAAATCCGAGTCCAGAAGTGTTTTTGGGACAGTAACAAATTATGTTATATGATGATTCCCTAACATGTACTATTTGATGTATATATAGCAGACAGGTACTAGTATGGAGGATGTGCAATATCCATGTTGTACTTGTCAATGCTCATTTTGATTGTGGTAACATTATATTTTATCTTGGGATCCTTCATAAATATAAAGGAACACTGTAGTGTTATGAATACAGAACAGTATTCATAACGATATATTGTCCCTCTGCTCCTGCGGATTAAAAAAAAAAAAAAAGTTAAAAAAAAATCCCCTTTTCACGTACCTGATTCCTTTAGCGCTGGATTGCTCTCCGCCTCCATTGATATCATGGTCTTATAAATGCATGTGCCTATGTGCCTATAGTGTCCCTTTAACTAAGTTACTTCACTTAAAGGACAACTGTCACGTCAAAACTATTTTTTAATATAATAATTTCATCAAGTTTTGAAAGGAAATTGATTTTTTAAATTGTGTGTATATATATATATATATATATATATATATATATATATATATATATATATAAAAGAGGAAAAAATTTGTTTATGACAGTATCCTTCAGCCATACACATGCACCTTGGGACAGACAGTGTTTTGTTGGGACACCAGTTAGCATTGTGGAGACTAATTGTCAGTTTTCGATCACTTTCCTGAGATGAATTAGGAACTGCACTCAATCCCATCACTATGAGCCAGGGTCATGGTGACCAGATATTGGAAATAAAATCCGGGACACCCATTAACCAAGGAGGTGAAGCAGGGTGAGGCTGGCATGGCGCTGGAAATAAAGTGAGTAAAAACACCTTTTTAACAGGGGCAGGATACCTAAACAACATTTTTACTACTATAGTGTCATGAATACATGTTTGTATTCCTGACACTGTAGTGTTTTTTTAACCCCTTAAGGACCAAACTTCTGGAATAAAAGGGAATCATGACATGTCACACATGTCATGTGTCCTTAAGGGGTTAAACAAATTAAAGCAACATTCTGACCACTATAACAATGTAATCTAAATATAGATGTAATGATGCCAGGAGGCCTTATGATGGAGGCCCCTGGATGATCTCTTTCCTATAAGGGGTTTCAGAAGCTGGATCCTGCTGATGGACCTGAAGATCCAGCAATGGGGGGTGTGCAAGAACATTTTTCAACTCTTAACACAATAGAACACTCAGGAGCCTTCTGGCACCATAACAACCTAATTTAGATGAAGTTGTTATGGAGAACAGAGGGTTCCTTTAAAAATGCCCAATATGTCTACATTTCAAATATCAAAAAATAAGTGAATACATTAACATAGATAGTTTTTTGTTTTTCTCCCTGGAGCAATGAGATGGTCCAAAGTCTCCCTGCCAGGCCCAGGTTGCCAAGCCTCTCAATTTGGTGTCCAGGACGATGTGGAGGGATCACTTCACTTGTCTTCCAGGTTGTCCTTCCTGCTCCAATCCCCTTTTGACAGTGTCTTCTCTTTCTTCTGAAACTTTTTTCTCTCCTCCTTGGCTCCTTTCTGGTCCTCTTGCTTCCTGCTGTTCCTTTACCTTTCTCTTCTTTCTGCTCCTTTACTTTGCTCTCCTTTCTGCTCCCTTCTGCTCCTTTACCTTTCTCTACTTTTTGCTCCTTAACTTTTCCCTCCTTTTTGCTCCTTTACCTTTTTCTCTATTCTGCTCCTTTACCTCTCTCCTTTCCCTTTCTCTCCATTCAGCTCCTTTACTTTTCTCTCCTTTACCATTATGTCCATTACGCTTTTTTTACCTTTCTCTCCATTCTCCATTCTGCTTTTGCTTTCAGCTCCTTTCTCTCCTTCTATGCATCGCAGGCGGTGGACTGAAGGGAGAGGGTGATGTTGCGCCGTGACGTTACCATGCAGTGTGAATTCTAATTTGCTGGCAATCGGCACAATCCGCGTAGCATCAAGACGTGGATTGGCCCATTGCCAGCAGCACAGAGGCAGGAGGAGAGGATGCGTAGGGGTCTGCTGTCTGCCGCATCTATTTTGATAGAACCAAAATTTTAGGAGCCATCGATTAAGTTTGGGCTGCTATTAAAAAAAAAAAAAGGGACATTTATGTGTCCCGAGAAACTTTCTCGGGACGCTGGGGCAATTGACACAAAACCGGGACGATCCCAGGAAAACCGGGTCACCCTGGCCAGGGTGCAACTATACCTGGACCCAGCACCAGGTCTCAGATACAATATGCAGAAAACAAAGAGAGGTTTAGGCACTCCAAGGTTCAAGCAGGCAATTTATTCAAACCAAATGTCACACAGCAACGTAGACCGTGTAGGTCGAAACGTTGCTGTGTGACGTTTGGTTTGAATAAATTGCCTGCTTGGACCTTGGAGTGCTTAAACCTCTCGTTGTTTTCTGCAGTTTTCAATCACTGTCTGACTCAAGGTTAAAGGCCATGGGGAGATAGCACAGCTAAGCAGACAAGGGCACATGTATGAGTGTGGGGATGGATGCTTGTGATTGGTTGTATGTGTATATGGGAGTGGTTATGTGTTTAGGAGTGGTGTAGGGATCATCTTACCTCTTTTACCACCTTACATCTTACCACCGCGCCTTTTGGGAGATAGGCCAGCAAACAACTTCCCTCCCACCGACCCTCTTTTCTGTTTGCTATTGTCTATGTCACAGCTAGTGGGGGGCGTGTCCTTGAAATAGGTTTTGAGGGCTATTACATGGATGGACAACCTCCTTTTAAGTTACCGACTTGGACGTGCCCAAGCTAAAAGCCATCTGGTGGTAAGCATTGAAAGGAAAAGGGAATTTGGTTTGGACGAGGGGTGAGGCGAGAACCCCGTGAGCAAGTTGGTGCATAGGCACGTGGTCTCTTTCATTGGCAAAGACGTTTATGTAAGCTAAGTCTGTAGGGCACTAGGTGTTAATAATTATATGTTAAGTTATGGATTATTTATGTATTTATTTCTGGTTATAATTGATGTAGAATCAATCAATTCATTGATTATCTTGCGTATCTGCCCCCGGCCAAATTTAAAAAGATGCGTGCACGCTCCTGAAGTAATTCACACCAGACACAGGTTTTCGGGTTAATGAAAAACTTGAGGAATGTTTATTCTGGGGGGACGGCATGCCCCTTATAAAAAAATTACATCATATGCATTGTCAGAGATAACATGGAATAATACATCAATAATTGGTTAGGTGTTAAGTGGTTCATTTAGTTCCCTTCCTACCGGGTGTGATGTCACTGATATCTTGGAGGTCTCCCCCCGATTCCAGTGCCATCTTGTTAACGAGGGTGTTAGTCGATGTCAAAGGGAAACTCCCTAGCGGCCATTTTAGGTAGATCACATATAAGGTTGAATAATGCGGATTGTGGTTATGCTGAGTAAATAGGCGTTTTACTATCATAAATTGAGTTAATATTTTGTCCACAACAATAATAAATTTAACAGTTGTCCTTTAAATATGTAATGTGGGTCAGCCAGATTTTTAGTTTTCTTTTATTTCATTTCAGTACTGCACCCTAGCACACAGTTTACTTATTCAAGATTAGAACATTATGTTTTTTTATTTTCTACTTTTATTCAATAAACATGACGTGAAATGAGCACTAATTAATTTTTTATATTTTAAGCTGAGGGTTGCCTCTTTTTTAACAATATAAACAGTCAGGCTTTATGAGAGCATTGCTTTTCTAATGGTATGCTGTAGCCACGACAACCAGCGATACATGCTTATGACATCAACATGTCTTACAAAAACTTTAATGGGATACGTAGACAGGATGCTAACACTTAATGTTTTGTGTAGGCCATAAAGTAATCATATACAACGTTTCACTAAACTCTGCGTAACTTGTGTTTCACATTTTTTGTTTTAGACTCCCTTTAAAAATAAATGTTGCCATGTTAAAATACGCCATTGCAATTTCCCTAACATCTCTTCCCCTTTGCAAAAGAGATAAAGGGATTTTTACAGAAGTTGAACTCGGAGCTAGCGGCTAATTAAAACAAATAAAAACACAGTTTGCAATCAATGTTGCTAGTTCACGAAATGCCCCGCATTGTATATAAAAAGTACAAGGCTCTTTAACTTGAAGCTGCATGCTGCTGGTGTAGATGTACTGTGAGCCTGAATCTTCAAACGGTGTTTGTGTGTATCATATAATGTGTGCCTCATTGCTATTCTCAGAATGCACAGTTTGGCTTATGTTGATTGGTAGGATTCACAGGCATAAAAACTGAAAGAGCCTTTATTCAACTCATCGCAAGTCCACTCCACCCCTTTAAATTTACATTGAAACTCTGCCAAATATCACATCGCCTCCAGTCTTTTGCGGCATTAAAATGAAGCCCCCGTTTCTCCCTCCACTCGTCTTATCAGTTTTGTTCCATATCCCAACAATGATATGTTAATAACAAAGTTTGAAAAGTCCGTCGTTTCCTCATATGAATTTCTCCTGTTTTTTTCTTTGATTTCTCTCACTCATTTTTTTGTTTTCATTTTTTTTTTTTTTTGAGTAGGATTGGGATGCAAAGTTTTGTTTTCATCAAAAGGTGAAAACAGCCTGCTAGCCAGCAGGTGCAAACCCCCTAAACAGCTGCTGGCTGTACTTGAGTTCAAGCGTCTTGGTTCCCCCTCCATGCCAAGGGTACTTCAAATAATCCTCTCATGCAATTCACACTGTAATTGCAGAGATCCAGACTCCTAGGGCCCAATTTATTATGATTTTTACTAACAAGATCTTCTGCAAACAGAGACTAGTCATATTAATTAGTTTTATGGAGCCAGGCTGCTCCAGCCTTATCAAGACTTTTTGTTCTTCTTGTCTATAACCCCCAAAGCCCACCCCCTCTTTTGGTCCTCTTGAAGGCCTCTCGGAGAGCATCACATGTGGATCTTTCAGTGCCTGTAAGTCCTTTTGATTGCCTGGTCTTATCCACTCCTCTAGTTGAAGTCTGGTAGACGCTGCCAGTTGAAATGATTTTGCAGAGGAAAGGCTTATCTTCTCAAGTTTGTGCAAGTGACATGGTTGATTTTGCAATTTCCAGATTTGATTCAGAATGCCAAAATGTATGGCGAGGGTTTCTTAAAAACTAGAAAAAGAAAACACTCATAATAATCCAAATGATTGGTTTTTTTTTTCCTGTATTGATGGGTCTTTAATTAACAGAGAACTGTTTAGGGAAATTTAATTTTTTTCAAAGTAACACAAACCCAGTGCTTTCACAAACACAAACATGTCAATATCCAAAAATTAATCAATATAATTACATAAAGTTATATAGATTATATAAAATGCATAGCATAATCAGAATAGTTTACATTTCAGGAGCAGAGCAGTTTTATTCATCAAATGTTATCACAACCAACTCCAAATATTACCCAAAATCTTAATTAATAAATGGGAACACACAAAATAAATTACTAATGCAGTGCTTTTGTATCATAAAAGAAAATATGTTGGATGACATTAATCATTTTTTACCATTATTTAATGACTAGCTGATACCATATTACATGCACAGCCGTATTTACCCTTCTTGTTGCCCCAAAGCCACTTTCCTTAATGCAACGTCTCCCCTTCACTCACTGACCCATGCAGACATACACAGACACTCACTAATTCACCATGTAGATATACTCACACTGACGCATGTAGGCATTCATGCACTGAACAGTGCAGTCACGCATACTGACCCATGCATGTCTAAGTGGCTATCGATGTAATACATGCAATGTGTTTGTGTGGTGGATGCAGTATATATGTTTGTGTAGACAGTGCAGTGTGTGTAAAGTGGATGTGGTGTATGTAGTGGATCGAGTGCATGTTGTGGATGCAGAGTATGTTTGTTTTTTCATTGTGGTGTGGATTTTATTTTTGTCAGTGGTTGTTTTCTGTGCAAATATTTTAATTAGTAACGTCAGTTATTATGGATTTTGATGCAGCCTTTTTTTGGTACTGAAAAACAAAGGAATTAGAAGAAAGAAGGCTTCTGATGGTAAGTATAATTTTTTTTAACAGGTTAAAGTTTTATGAGCCTCCCTCACAGAGGCGGAACTAACATAGCGAGGAACCTGGTGCAAGATTTTTTTTGAGTTGTCGTACAGCTCCCACAATGCTTTGCCCGCAAAGGCATCGGGATTTGGAAGCTAAGATTCTTGGATATTACCGGCCTGATGGTGTTCATCTTTCTGATGTGGGCCTGGACTTTATGTTACTAGGTTTTCAGGATGGTTTACAGAAAGCTGTGTTTTGGTTGGGGGGCGCTAAGATAGTTTAAGGAGTCAGGCTCTGAGCTGTGGCGGGGGATGGAAAGAAAAGTTGGGGGGTAGGTAATTTGTTCATAGGTCTGTCAGTTTTAGTTCGCTAAGAACAGTTAGGTTTGTAATGGTATTGGTAGGTTTGAGCTTGCTGGTAGCTCCGAACCTGGTGTGTGTAAGGTGTATCTTGGTATACCCTTACATTGTGAAAGATGGAAAATCATGCCTTCTGTGGCAATGGTTTATGTTTTATGTTCATTTATTCATATGTTATAGGTGGTATCAATGATTGTTTATGTGGGTATATATAGGGGGCCGTTTTAGATTAGGGACCATCTTACTTAATCCTCACTTACCTGTTGTTGTCCCACCCTTCCTCCCTTTTTTCATTGTATAGTTCCCGCTTGGTCACGGCGGCGGGGGATGGATAGAAAAGTTGGGGGGTAGGTCATTTGTTCATAGGTATGTCAGTTTTAGTTTGCTAAGAACAGTTAGGTTTGGAATGGTATCGGTATGCCATAAGGGATATGACAAGAGGAGGACTATTTCTCAGGCCCATGCTTTTCCCTCTTAAGCAAAGCAGAACTAACACATGTATAGATGAAAGAGTCCTTGCTTGGTAGAAAACGATCCAGAACACCCTATCCACATCACAGACCACAAAGAAACAAGCAAGCACTAAAATATTGGTGAGTAATATGGACATACTTTAATACAGATTCAGCCTCTGAATGGGCCTCTGA